AGTCTAAAAACATTAAAAAAGTGATGATAGTGGGCTGCAAAACCGAGAAAGAGAAACCAATTTAAACCAAGACGTGAGAGCTAAATTGTGATCGGTCTAATTTAAATGGATTATTGATGACATGGCTTTTTTTGCCCCCCTCACAAATGCTTATGTGGATGCATGAGAAGGGAGAAAAGCCTATTTTATTGTATAAGATTTTTTATATATCCAGTGATTATAACCTTTAAAAAAGAATATTCTTAACAGAATTATCAAATTTGAAAAAAACTGTTGTAACCATAATATATATAGATATTCCTTATATTACGAAAATTAAAATCTTATCTACTAAAATACCCTAACAAAACAAGATATCAGTATCTAATATATAGCTAATCATAACAACTTACGAGAATAATATTCTCTAATTGATACCCTAACTAACCTAGCAATCTATATATACCGACACCTCACCCATAATTAGAACCATCACCTAAAGAAAAAAAGTTCTACCTATCGCTATGATCAAAGATTTTTCGTATCTGAAAGACCTCAAGCCTTACAAACAGGGATGGCGAGTCCAGGTCAAGTTGCTTCACTCCTGGAGGCAGAAAACCAATTTTGGATGTGATACCCTAGAGATGATCTTCGCAGATGAAACTGTAAGCCTTCTTTAATCCGTTTTATGTTCTTTTTACACTTTAGAGTTCGATTTACTGCACCAAAATGTTAAGATACGTTTTTGTATATGTACTTTATGACCTAAATAAATATGTCTATGTACTAACTTATATACACTTTTGCAACAGGGTGTTAAGATACATTGTTCAGCCAGAAAGGCTCTCATAAAACGTACAGAGGGTAAAGTACGGCTTGGTGAATGGCGTCTCATTGACACATTTACAGTGTGTCAAGCGAGAGGACAGTACCGACCCACAAACCATCCTTACAAGATGTCCATCATTGAAGAAACCTCTATAGACCCGAGTACTTTTGAGTGTGATGATGAGTTCGTGGATTTTCCTCCTTTTGAAAAGATTGGAAATGGAAGTCTGGATACTCACTTCCTTATCGGTTAGTAATTCATTGAGACTTTTTACATTATATATGTATATGGTACTAATATTAAGAATGTAATTATCTAACAGATGTAATCGGACAAGTTATGAGTCTTCATGACATCCAAACTGTTCAAGTTGCTGGGAATGATAAGAAGAAAGTTGAATTTTGCTTAATGGACATCAAGTAAGTGAATGAATATATAATTTTCTAATTACGCTATATATTACATATATTTTTAGATTTATTTTTAATATTTTGATTTATTATTTCAGGGGTCAAAGCATTGCATGTTGTCTCTGGGGTAAATATGCAGAACAACTTGAAGAACATGTCCTAAAAACAAATAATCCTAATATGGTGTGCATGATCCGCTTTGCTAAAATTGGTTTTTACCGAGGTATGTAAAAAAATATTCATATAAAATCTTTACGTGTTATCCAGACAACTATATTTATATGTATAATTATATACTGTTTAAATTGAACTGAATATCCCATGCTTATTTTCTGTAGGAGATGTGCAGATCACCAATGCCTTTGATTCATCCCTGATTTGTTTTGATCCTGACTTACCAGAATGTCTAGCTTTAAAAGAGAGGTTAGGTGACCATTATGTATTGTACTACTTTTTTCGATTTGAATTTTTTTTGTTTACCTACTAACTGGGTTCTAAATTTTATCAGGGTGCCAAGTGATGAGTTTACTCTTGCTCTAACTGATCCAAAGAAAGATAAGCGTGTTAGCAAGGATCAAACTGATGATTGGAATGATGTTGGTATTAAAACTATCTCTGAAATCATAATGGCAACACAGGTTTCAGTTTCTAAAAACTCAGTTTATATTATATCTACCAAAGTCGGATGAGTTTACTCTTGCTTTGTTTTTACTCTTTAGGAAGAGGATTGCAAAATCATCTGCTCAATCGAATCTATCGATACAGATTGGGGCTGGTTATATTTTGGTCATGTTAGCCGCAACAGGTGTAACAAACGTTGCCGTAGGATCAAATTGACTCCAAATGACAACCCCAAGTTCCGGTGCACAACTTGTGGTGCAATTACCACCACTGTATACCCACAGTTAGTTCCTGCTATAATTTTACATCTTTATATATATATATATATATATATATATATATATATTAACATTTATGGTTCAGATTTTTGCTGATATTGCTTTGTTTTGAAACAGATTCAAATTGCATTTGATTTTGATTGTCAAGGATGACACAAGTACTTGCAAACTGATGCTTCTTGATTCTGTTGCCAAAGTAGTTGTGGGATGTGAGGCTGTATCTATTTGGGATGGTTCCTATGAAGAGGTTATAAGAATTTATATTATCACAAATATATTTTACATCTTACTCATTTTATATTCATCTTTTGATATACAGATTGAAGATCCAGATATTTTGCCTCAAGCTGTAACAGATTTGGTTGGAAAATCTTTTTGTTTTGGTCTTACTCTTGCCTCTGAAAATGTTACAAATGCATCAGACATCTTTCTGGTTTCACAAGTATGGTCTGGAGATAAGGTTCTTCAAATCGAGTCAAATTCTGAGCCTATTACTCATGTTAGCTCTGCTTCATCTATTATGTCTGGTGGAGAGGTATATTTTGAAACCATTATTTCGACCTCATGTATGTTATTTTTGCCATTTTTTTGAACCTGTCTTTTTGTCTTTTGATTAGGTTTCTTTAACAGAAAAAACAGAAGCAAATTCATCTGAAGGTTCTTCAACCCCATTGTCAAAACGTACAAAAAAGGATCAATTTGATCAGACTTCCACTTCAAAAAAACTTTGCACCAAGGTGGTGAAGATGGAGAAGATTAAAGATGACTAGCTGCAAGTTTAGTATTGTTTCTTGCTTTATTGGATTTTTTTTAATTAATTTCGTGTCTTTAATAAGGTCTTTTATGAAATGTTGTTTCATAAAAGAACCACTTTGTTTTATGAGTTTCATCTAATAAAAATCTGTATTCTTATAATGTTTATTATTTTTTATTTACCCGCTCAACAAAAATCTATCAGTGACACATGGTTTAGTAACAAAACCTTATATGAGAAACCTGTTGATACCCCAAATAAAATCGAAACAACCCTGTTTGAATCTTAACCAAAAATTTGTATTTTCAAGCTTACGTTGACATTACTTATATTATTATAGAAAACGATAGTATATTACAAACTATAATTTTAAGCAACACTGCGCAATCTATATTAAGAGCTTCAGGTGACTCAAGAAGGTGCATGATCTCAGCTTCGTCCATCTCTAGCAGCATCCCTGTAACTTTAGCAACATGAACTGGCTCATGCTTCTCCACAAGTGGGTAAAGCTGCTCCCCAAGAATCTGTCATCAATGAAACACAATCTTCAACAAATAGAATATACTCCAAATCTTCTGTACGTTAATGGAACAACAACCTATACTCCATCCTTTTTGAAGTTAAAGAAAAAAAAAAATATATATATATATATATATATATATATATATGATCTCAGCTTCGTCCATCTCTAGCAGCATACCTGTAACTTTAGCCACATCAACTGGCTCATGCTTCTCCACAAGTGGGTAAAGCTGCTCCCCAAGAATTTGTCATCAATGAAACACAATCTTCAACAAATAGAATATACTCCAAATCTTCTGTACGTTAATGGAACAACAACCTATACTCCATCCTTTTTGAAGTTAAAGAAAAAAAAAATATATATATATATATGATCTCAGCTTCGTCCATCTCTAGCAGCATCCCTGTAACTTTAGCCACATCAACTGGCTCATGCTTTTCCACAAGTGGGTAAAGCTGCTCCCCAAGAATCTGTCATCAATGAAACACAATCTTCAACAAATAGAATCTACTCCAAATCTTCTGTACGTTAATGGAACAACAACCTATACTCCATCCTTTTTGAAGTTAAAGCAAAAAAAATATATATATATATATATATATAAATATATATTGGGAATCAAGATAAAAAATAACAGATCATTTTTCATTAAAATAACACAATAATACAATAACAGTCCAGATTGTATTCTAGATTACAGGAACTAAATTATATGGCCATAACACAATATACTAATTTATAGGAACTAAATAACTATCTATCCTTACAAAAAAAAACGTGAACTAAATAACACTGTTATCTCCACCATCGTGTTGCAGTATTTGTGAAATAAGACTTAAGACTGCTACACCTGATCAGGTACATTTTAAATTAGATATGCAAAATCCCAGTGATTAGCGTTATGTATATTGTTATTGATTACCAACAAATGATTTTGTAGGCACAATGAAAAGGAAGAAACTCGGTTCTAGAAGAGAACAGAATAGTGGTATTTTGGGCAGGAGCGACAGAAATCATCAAAACACTAACAACAAGTCTCGATGTCCCTATCTCTTCTGTTTTTAAAACACTGTTTTAATCTCTTCCTAACATCACACCTGGTACCATTCCACCTACTGGCAATAGAAGGGGAAAATTGACTCCATCTACACCAAGAAACATAAGCAAATTCTTTAAAAGTATTGTGCAATATATTTACTTCTAATGACAGTAGGTGAGGTCACCCCTGTTCGTTTTACTTAATCAAAAACAATATTTTTTTTGAAACAGTTGGTGTGGACAGTGGGGCTGTCCAAGCTTCAAAGGAAAATTTACAGAGAAGTTGTATCACATCTCTAGCATGTAAGTATAAAGATCAGTACTTAATATAGTATCAATCGTAACTGAGCATTTATTTATAAACTATTTTTTTATCATATTACTTTGCTAGACAAATCAGGCATCAGAAAAAGACTACGTTCTGACTTAGAAGACAACACTAATAAAAGGAGTTTTATGGATCGTCTTGAGGAAGATTTCGATAGTGATGCATTTCACCAGGAAACGAGTGCTGATGAAAGTGAAGAGGATGGGAATGCATTAGCATACGATTCTGACATTGAAGGTATTATAAAGTAATTTACTACATATATACCACGTGTATATTTATGATATTGGTACTGTATTTTTATTTTAATGTTTTATCTAAATGTAGGTAGATTAGATGAAAATTTTCAACAAGATTTTGCCTGTAGTTCACAAGAAAACACAAATTCAGAATCCGATCCAGAAAATGAATTAGTTGACTTAACTGTCACTAAGGAGGCAGATCATTTACCCAACAGGGACAGAGTCAAATCTCTTGCAAGACTTTTCGAAGAAGCATTTCATGCAACAGAAAAGCCAGCCAAAAAAGAATTACCAAAAGAAGATGGTAATAAACTGCCAGTTTCTATATCTGATATGTAGAACATCAATTTCTTATACTTTTTTTTTCTAAGCTACAGCTTATTCAGATGAAGGGGATGCTACTTACACATGTACTTACTGCGGAGCTATTATGTGGTTTGGTGAACGTTTGAATAGGCGTCATAAAACAGGCCTACCTAAGTTTGCTCTCTGTTGTATGCAAGGACAAGTGCAATTACCATTACTGAAAGAACCACCAGAAGTGCTAAAGAATTTGCTGAATGGAGATGATAAATTAAGCAAGCATTTTCAGAGAAACACAAGAGCTTATAACATGGTGTTCTCATTCACTTCGCTTGGTGGAAAGGTTGATAAATCTGTTCGAAAAGGAAAAGGTCCAAACATGTTGGTACTCCAAGGTGAGAATTACCATTTAATTGGTAGTTTACAACCACCTACTGGAAATGATGCTAAGTTTGGACAGCTTTACATCGTTGACACTGAAAATGAAACAGAAAATCGAACAAATGCTTTGAGGTAACTATTGGCCCTCGCCCTTATTAAAAAATAGATTCAAAGTTGTGTACTGTGATTATAAACTAAACTTTTTATATGTTATTTTTTAACAGCAAAGGGGGGCAAAAGAAAGCTTATAAAAAAGGTGATGGGCTTAAGAAGGAAATCATTGACCTTCCGATTAAGATGCTGAATGAGACCAACCCTTATGTTAAACAGTTCAGATCTGCAAAAGATCGTTTCACCATCAGTCCTAAAGACTCTTTTCATATGAGGATAGTAAGTGATAGAGCAAAGGATGGAAGAAGATATGACACACCAACATCATCAGAAGTTGCTGCACTGATTCCTGGAGATTTTAATCTCGAGATGAATAATAGGGATATTGTTCTTCAACAAAAATCAGGCAAGTTGATAAGGATAAATCATGGGTGAATTTTTTATTAGAATCAGTGCAGGATATATTACTTAATGGTTTTCTTCCGAGAAAAAAAAAATAATGACTTTGTTATTTTACTTTTGTAAAAATAAATAACCCTAACTTTTTTTTTTTGCCAGGCAACTTGCTAAGGATTGATGAAATACATGCTTCATATCTTCCACTTCAGTATCCCCTTTTATTCGTACATGGAGAGGATGGGTTCAGGCTTGGAATAAAGAAAGGTGATACTAAAGCTACAGAGAAACTGAAGAAGAAAAATATCAGCATGAGGCAGTTCTTTGCCTTTCGTTTGCAGGAACGTAAGAATGAGGCTCATACTATTCTAAATTCAAGAAGGTTGTTTCAGCAGTTTGTTGTGGATGGCTACACAACTATAGAATCCAATCGCCTACGCTATTTGAGGACTCACCAGACAAGTTTGCGTTCTGATAGTTATGACTCTATCAAAGAGTCAAAAAACGCTGGCAGGATTGATATGGCCGAGCAAGGATCTTCATTTCTCTTACCAGCTTCATTCATTGGTGGTCCTAGATATATGAAAAACCTCTACCTCGACGCAATGACTATATGTAAGCATTTTGGTTTTCCCACCATTTTCATCACTTTTACATGCAATCCTAAATGGCCAGAGATCACAAGACATCTTAAAAGCCGAAAGTTAAAGGCAGAGGACAGATCAGACATCATTTGCAGGATGTTCAAAATGAAACTGGATTCATTGATGGATGATTTAACCAAGAAGCATATCCTTGGAAAAACCGTATCATGTGAGTTAATTATTTCGCTCTCTTGGTCATATGCTTTTATAATTTCTACAATTATCTATACCATTGTTTGTTGTCTTCTTTTGCAGCTATGTACACGGTTGAGTTTCAGAAACGTGGTCTACCCCATGCTCATATTCTCTTATTTATGCATCCTACGGCCAAGCTTCCCACAACAGATGATATTGACAAGATCATTTCAGCTGAGATTCCTGATAAGTCTCAAGAACCAGAGCTGTACGAGATCGTTAAGGATATGATGATTCATGGACCATGTGGAGCTGCTAATATGAATTCTCCTTGCATGGAAAATGGGAAATGTTTGAAGCTTTACCCGAAATCATTTACTGATAAGACGACAGTGAGTAAAGAAGGATTTCCGATCTACCGTAGAAGAGAAAATATGGATCGTTATGTAGAGAAGATTGGGGTGAAGTGTGACAACAGATTTGTTATTCCTTATAACAAAAAACTATCTCTACGTTACCGAGCTCATATAAATGTAGAGTGGTGCAACCAAGCTGGTTCTATAAAGTACTTATTTAAGTACATTAATAAAGGAAGTGATCGTGTGACAGTAGCTGTGGAACCGCCAGATCACATGGTTGCAGAGGCGCTTGGTATTCCAGTAGGAGAAGTGGACCAAAAAAAGAGGAATGAATTTAAGGACTTCTTTGATTGCAGGTATTTTTTTTCTATCCTAAATACACAACTGGATTTTTAATTTTCAGTACATGATATAAATAAAACTAATGGAATGTGTTTGAATTTTGTATTGTAGATATGTTTCTTCGTGTGAAGGATCATGGAGAATTTTTAAGTTTCCTATTCATTATAGGTCTACTGCAGTTGAGAAGCTTAATTTCCATCTACCAGGCAAACAGAACATTATTTTCAGAAAAAAAGACAAGCTCCAAACAGTGATAAGTCGTAAACTCATTCAGAATACAATGTTCTTAGCATGGTTTGAATTGTGTAAAGTTGATGATCTGGCTAAAACTCTCACATATGCTCAGATTCCTAACTTTTTTACCTATTCAAAGAGGCAGAAGAAGTTCATAAGAAGGAAAAGGGGATTCAGTCTCGGCCGAATCAACTATGCTCCTCGTAATCAAGAAGATGCTTACTATCTCCGTATTTTATTGAACTATGTGAGAGGTCCTACAAGCTATGATGACATCAAAACATTTGAAGGTGTTGTTTATCCCAGCTACAAAGATGCATGTTATGCTCGAGGATTGTTAGATGATGATCAAGAGTACATTGATGATATTCTGAGGAGAAGCTACGGATGCACAGGAGCTGAACTAAGACAGTTGTTTGTTAGGATGCTCATGAACAACAGTTTATCTACGCCAGAGGTTGTTTGGGAGAAGACTTGGGAATGTCTTTCAGATGATATTGAGCATCACACGCGTAAAACTTTCAATAGGCCAGGTTTACTTACTTCACTATTTTCATTGACTATTTAATTTTATAGCAAAATGTTTCATACTTGATTTTTAACTTTTTAAATTGATACATTATTTATGCAGGACTATTGTTAAGTGATGATGAAAAAAATTTTTTTGCTTTGCTGGAGATTGAAAAGATATTGAAGCGTTGTGGGACTTCTTTGGCGAAATATAAGTCTATGCCACAACTACCAAAGACAGGTAGTAAGGCTTCAAATGTGTTGATATTAGACGAGAGAAGCTATGATCGTGATTGTTAAAAACTC